TTTTACCTAGACTGAAAAGCCACCTGGCCTACCGGATGGATTCGGTGTAGCGCTCCGAGATTTTGCCAAAGACGAAGCAAGACGATGCTAGGGCAGGATATGTATTCTTGACGTACAGAAGGGCTTAGGGGCTACTGGCATGGCCCAAGGCCAGACCGCCTAGCGTAGGTGCGATGGTGGAGCCCTCAATGATCCTTTTTTAAAATCGAGAGCTAAACAAGCAATTGAAGTATAGTACTAGTTTCTTTCACACGTTTTAAACGTCACTATAAAAGTATGAGGGGCTTTTGATTACTTGTAATTTGATATTTCTTAAAGTACAAGGCATTTTTTAATACAAACTATCATAAACTTTAAAGAAATTTAGTACATGGCTTGATCTAAAGTTATTCAAGTCCCAAGCGTTTGGTTGAAGATAGAGGTAGTAAGACCATATCTAGTGTCCTAGTCGGTGTCATTAGAATGGCAATAAACATTAGCATACATTTGTAACTGTACTACAACCTCGCTAAAGCTACCTCTATCTTTCCCTTTTCATACCATTCGCGGGAGCCTTTCTGTGAGTCCCCGCCTTAAACCAGCACTGGTTTTCTATAATCCTCATGTGCCAGTACTTTCGGTAAAAAGTCACTTATGAAACTTGAAAGCCGTAGAACCAGACACGGCGACTGTTCGACTAATCTCATCTAAACCCCTTTGGTGGCAACTTAGGCTGACCACGCCCACCGACAATCGCTTCGACTTGTCTTTTTTGTCAGGAAAAAATCGAGGTCAAATTCAAAGTCTTTCAGCCGTCGATAGGTACATGGATGCGACATTGGGGATGAGTGATTTGAACTAGTTAGCGTGGAAAGCGGTTTTGTTTTGGGGGTTGGTGCGCCTTGCAGTGTTGTTTACCTGTGATTTGTGTTACTCCGATTATCCGAGTTAGGAAGCGGGGACCGTCAGAAAGTCTTTGTACTTAAGTACTTTAAGTTAAACATCCCGAAGATGAGAAGAGTAGCTAGTGATTTTAACTGAGTGGGTCATCTCATTGACGACCTTGTCTGATGAACAAACGGTCGTCCTTTCAAAATATAAGATGTCCACAAAATTCACTTGTACATGAGATGTCTAAGTCAAACAAGCATTTTTGATTTCACTTGTTGCTGTAGCAGTAATTGACACTTTGGTCTGGTTGCCAATAGCCGACGCTCAGCTCGTGGACCAGTTCACACACTGTTTACTAAGCTATCAGACAACGGCGGCAGACACTTGCGTGCTTTTCTACAGAAGTGGGTAAGAAAGCGTTAAACCTGAATCCGCGGATATCTACTCGTACAGCAGACCTTAAACAGGTAAAGATACAATGATAGGATGCTCAGTGGCTTAGCAGCACGACATATAAATGAAGGCACCAGTAAGTACGTCTGTGTGTCAGTGACGGTCGCAGCTGTGTAGTTCCTAGCCCGCGATCTCGACGGTCAATGCGGTGAACACTTACTGCCTGTGCTGTGACGAGATCGTGCAAGAGAACAGTGATTGGAACACGGTATGCTTAAAATAACATTTGCAAAGTTGAGATTTTCGTACAGGTCACGAATTGAAGTAGGTTTGAAATATTAGAACTATTCAGATGGCGAGGCTAACCTTTTTGCGCTGAAGCTGCTTTGTAGATGTGGTTAGGTTAGTGTATGAAGAAATAAGTCAATTTTCCTCCTTCTGAAACTTTTCCTATTCCTATCTTGCAAGAATATAAAGGTGCCGGTTTAATTTGAACTTCTATTGTAAAGTATTTGTGCTAATGTGATGGGTAGGGAGGACTTCATACTTCCAGCCATCGCCATCCACGATCACGAGGAACAGTAGAATGGTAAGTGAAGAGGTTAGAGCACGGCCTAAGTCTCAGTTTTGGTAAGGTACATGAGCGCATGTGTTCCAAATTGGTGCCTGAGCATTTTCTGTCGGACTAACTTGAACACAGGCGGTTAGACATTTGTTTCCAACACAATAACTCACTTTGACTCGGACGTAAATCCCATCGAGGTTCGCTCAAGGATATTTAGCGTTTTGGTTGAGTGGTCGCCAGGGTTACTCTAAGCATTTCTCTCATTTCTTCCTAAAAAAATCGAATGCGTCTGGCGCACTTGGAGGCGCGCAAACTATGGATTCCGATCATTTGATGACTTCATGTCTTGAAAGTTGGCTTTTTCTTGTTCCCTCTAAGCCGAATCATTTTCATTTGAGGACTATGTCTCACGATCTCACTTCGCATAACTTTATAGTGTTCAGGTTACCCCTGAAGGTGCATAAGTAGCACAATCGGAACTCCATTCTAAGCAGTAACATAGACTAGTAAAGCTAATACGTGGCCTCCGTCATGTTTCAATCGCCGTCCTTTAAACGCTTTCTGTGAATACCCACAGCATTGCCAACCGCAAGTCTTCGTATCAATTGAGGTCTACTGAGACAGAAAGGAAGATCATACGATGATTTTCCATCATGACGAGAGGCTAATTAAACCACGCTATGTACATCTCCCAGATTTAGGGTAGTATTCTTCTATTACTTCATCTATTTTTGAACTGCATGAAACGTTTCTTGAGACTGGATGCTGTTTTACCGGGAACACATTTTATATGCAAATCGGCTTATGCTATAAATCGAAAGAATTGAATTCACTGTTTTGATTCCTTCTCTGCCTAAATTTTTCTCCAATGTCTCCCACTTCTTTGTTAGATTTAATCCATCCTTTACTGTTAAGTAATTCTTATCTGAACGATTTCAAGTCACTCACTTCTAATCTCGTTTCGATACTGACCTTGATGAAGAACTTAAAATTGGAATGAATATTGTTTTACCGGTCTCTTTGCTATAAACTTTCACACACTCGGTCAGCCACACTGGGTGCCATTGTTGCCGTATCAATTGGCTGGCCATATTAGACGCATGACTCCTTTCCTACACCGTCCAAAGCGCCAATCTTCCTTCCACCACTTCCACCATTGTCGCATCCAAGTTACCTCCCACAGACGTTGCAAGTCATGCAAGCTTAGAAGCAGCTTTCCTGTAAAATGCCAAAGGAACCTGTTGTCTGGCGGAGGAAATGTCATGAGTGGAGCCCGAAATTAATCAAACATTCTACACTAATAACAATTCCAGTTGTTGTCCCGGAATGCCTATCTCAGTGCGCTCAAGAAAGTGGCATCGAATGGGATAATCGCTTTTAATATTTCCGCTATACTTATTAATAATTGTTTAAGAAAATCTTTGTTGTTTTTTTAGAAATCGAAAAACTACCGACTAAGCATGGGATCCCTTTTCCACTCGGTGACACTTCAACCTGATGAGACCATCACTATCACCAAATATCAGGCCAAGTATTTTTCTGCTTTTAATGTCACATAGTTTTAGCTAGTAGCCAAAGTAGGTTCATTTAAAAGTTATCATTAAGAATTGGGATTTTATGGTCAAATATTCTTAGATAATTACTCCCAAAAGGACAAGATTGTATGAACAAACATGCCTGACTTAATCACATATTTGAAGTAACTAATGGAACATAGGGTGTCCGTTAATTTCACACTTATAAAAGACACTGCCTCTGGAAGCCAAGACAAAGCCTAGCTTTAACTACCCGGGCCTATATCACCTTCATTGCTCACTTACCCCATCAATTTCGCATGTGATCACGTAGTTGTTCAATGCGAATGCTGAGGGAAGGCGATGATAATCACCTAGCGCTTGGAAGAATATCAACAGAAGGTAGAATGCGTTGGACGAAGATGCGGATGGGGAAGAAGAGGGTAGGGGGGAGCCAATGGAGTATTTCCTTTCCATCTCATTCCAACCTACTTCACGCCAGTGTGAGCTGCAGACTTTCTCGCTGGTCAATTTTGTGGTGGTATGAGGTTTTGGCGTTGCATGATGATGCTTAGTAAGAACAAGGAAAGGGTTTTTCCTCAACTGTTTCTGAGGTAGTTTTTTTCCTGGCACATCTTCGAGTTGAGGTGTATGGAGTGCATAGACCTCAGTATCAGTGGTCGCTTGGACTTCATCAATTGACAGTCAGAGCAATCACCTGCGTCTGCGGTCCGCCCCACAAACATGTACACACACCCATCTACAGACAGGCAGAGTAAGAAGAAGAGCCTATTGCGAGGAAGAAGTGGTGCCGTGGAAGTGCAGTATGTTAGTTTGCTTGGCTGATGTTGGAATGCACCAGCGCAAAAGCAATTTTTTTATCACAAGTCAGTGAAACTGTAATTGAGAAAACATTCCATGACCTGAATGAAAGAAGTAGAGAACATCGAATTGGTAGCTTTTGAGGCTCATTGTCTGTCATCTGTGGATGCATGTGCCACCCATTTGCTTGGCTTCCTCGACTTCGGTGAGAAGTTAAATGCATGACTGAAAGTTGTTGTCGGCACGTGAGTCCTGACTTAACGTGTCGACAGCGGCTTGTGATTTTGAATGGTGAAGAACGGAGAACAGAGGGGTTTTGCCTTTTCAACGTGATGCATCACGATTTGATGATCACCAAAATTAAATGGATTTGCGCGTATCTTGTGCCCTGCAAGTAGTGTGGGAGGCTTCTGCAGTCTTGGAACCGAGTTGAAGTGGGCTCCCAATGGTAGCAGGCTGGAATACTCACCATCGGGTTTACTTAGCTGACATTAGCCGATGGGATGATGGGTTGAGAATAAGGAGGGAATGATGGAGAGGAGAATAAAGTGAAGCTTACGGACAGACTAGTGCATGTGTATGATGTGGAACGGATGAATGCAGTGAAATTGGATTTGACAAAGTGCCTACTAGTTGTAAGTCATTGGATCTAACCGTACTGAAAACCGCATGAACTTTTTTGTTTACCCTATAAAATCCCAAAGTGTGAAGAATATCACTTTAAAGGTCATGAGTGACCCTCACGGCAGGATTTGAATTGCACAAGATTGTATGGGCTTGCAACATTTCATGACATTTTTCAAAAAAAAACCAAAACCGATGTCTCCCTGTGACCAATGAAAGTGAGGTTGGTACTGCGGTTGGACGCGAATACTTTTTTTCTGTCCGCACCACGGATTGACGTAAGCAATCCGTTCTTAAAAGTAACTGCATGAGATGGAACGCTTGTTTGCCTCGACAAAACCACTTATAAATAAGTTTGTAAGTGACGATTATATGGTGGACTGACTCATTTCCACCGTCAGAATAGGGACTTTTGCCTGTGAAACGAAATCACAAGAAATAATTATTACTGACTCACCAAATAGCGATTGATGAATTGGCCACTGTGGACGTCTAGGCTTGATAGGGCATCGTTACCGAGAGCACTTGTAACCTTTTAAAGATTTGTTTTTTTCCCGGTTGCAAATTATGCGCGCAAGTTCCATCGACACACTTTTTGTTCCTCACTGTAAGTAGCCTGAAATTTCTCCAATTTGTTATTCTCTTTTCCATTTTAGACGGGCACAGAAAATAGAGAACTATGCAACCACGTACCGTTACATGCTGGAGGTGCCGGATGGTTTGACCTACTATCCACTGGAGATAATCTTTACGAATCGCTTGATATGGGCCTTCAATTGGAGCTATCTTGACAACCTCGTGGCAACTCAAGGGGTGAACGAGTCCTACGAAATTGTCGCGGTGAGTTGAATCCCCTTTCCCCATATCATCTGCACGAAAATTCGAGCATTCAAGGTAGCTCTGAGGACGATGGGTACAGAAAACTTCAAAGATTAGAAGCACAGATTGTGTAAAAAGAATCTTGTGTCCTCCATCGTGAATGTTGAGCCGCGACAGACCTGTGTTACCTTGAACGTCATCACCTGCGTTTTGTGGAGTTACTCTCCCGCACCGGCCATTACAACAGTAATCGAGTGCGGTTAATTTAGTGACAGGGCAGTGACGGAAATTTTGCAATCACTTATGGCCGCAGCGAGAGGATTTTTCGGAGCTAACGATAGTGTTTCATATTGTGGAATTCGTTGAGTCAATCTATCAAATTTTTAATCAATTGTCCTTTTAAAAGAGTGCAGTCGTTAAATCTTGCTTAAGGTCGGATTACATTCCGCTCCAGTCACACTTCAAATTCTTCAAATCAAAATCCATTAAATGAAATATACTATTTAAAGCGATTCTGCAGATTTTGTGATTATTGGTGTTTCAACGCTTCTCAATTATCCGTTCGAACTATTCCCTACTTGTTATAGAGTGGAGGTGTCAGGCCCTCTTGTCTCACTCATCGTTTATCGTTTTTCGTCGTTTTGGTTGAGAAATTTTGCAACCTTAACGCCGACCTTGCCTCATTCAGGGCGACGATTGGAGCAGTCGCCAAAGGCAGACATGATTTTAATTGCTTTCCATCCAAAAATTAGTACATCAAACGCAGATGGTCTTAACTGCTTTAAGGTTGCCAAATACTCATACGCGTTGTTTTCCCTAGTAATGCTTAACCAATCGCAGAAAGCGTCTTAAAGAATAACTTAGCTACGGAGTATAATACCACTAAAATCTCTATTCTTTTTACAACAAGACCCAAGGTACGTGTGAATTTCACTTCTATAGAATGCATTGTCTAGCCTTCACTGCATTGCACGACTGATACTAACATTGTAAAGGATGAGTATGAGTGTGGTAGGGCCGAGGATTGGGGCGAACGAGGTAGAAGAACGAAGATGCTGGGGGTGAGGTAGTTTCTCCCCCTTCGTACCACCGCGACTCATGTTAGGGTGAAAGTCTTTTTAACGGTAAGTTATGCGACGGTGTGGGGTATTGAAGTACGAGGTGTTGCATTCTGTGGTGTTGTGATCTGATGTGTTGATTCGTAGGGAAGTGATAAAGAACTTTGTTCTAAACTGTTTTTAAAGGAGTTTTTTCTCGCGAACCCTTGAGTTGCATTGTGTTAAGTGTATAGACCTCAGCCACACGGGTTGGTTGGACTTCACCGAGTGAAATAGTCGTAGTCATCACTTGCATTTCCCGCGGAGTAGGAAGCGGCCTATTGTGAGAGTGAAGTGGTGTCGTGGGGATGCGATCTGTTAGTTTGCTTGGCAGGTGTTGAACTGCACCAGTACAAAAGCGATTTTGCATCACAAGTCAGTGAAACAGTAAGTGAGGAAACCTTCCTTCTCTAACGATGAGTTTTTACTAATATGAATGGTAGAAGCAGAGAGCACCAAATTGATAGCCTTGAGGCTTATTGGCTGTCATCTGTGGATGCATGTGGCACCCATTTGCTCGGCTTCCACAACCTGGGAGGAGAAGTGCAGATGCAAATAATTTGCTACACAACCTACCTTAAAGCACGACTGAAGGTTTTCGTTAGCACGTGAGTCTCGGCTTAACACGTCGACAGTGACACGTGACTTTGGATGGTGAAGAATGGCGAACAGGGGGTCTTGCATTCTCAATGCGATGCATCACGATTTGGTGATGGATCACCGAATTTAAGTGGAATTGTGTGTTTTCATACCCCGTACCTCGTATCCTGTACTGCGTACTGCACACCTCATCCACAGTATTAGAATGGAGTTGAATTGAATTCGTGATGGGGGTAGGCTGGAATAATCACCATTAGGTTTATTCAGCTGCCATTAATGTATGTGGAGATGGGTTCAGAGCAAAGGAAAAGGTGGAGGGGAGTGGAGAGTGTAGCGCATCGACATACTGGTGCATGTGTATGTTGTGGAATGGATGCATGCAGTTAAAAGGATTTGACAAAGTGCCTACTAGTTGTAAGTTGTTGATTTAAGCTGCACCAAAACCGCGCAAACTTATTCGTTCACCTGGTAACGAACCTCTCGACTTGAATTGTCAACGCAGCATAATACCGCACTGTCCCTAATTCGAAACATTTTCAACTGTTTACTCACTCGAAATAGGGAGTGTCACAGTTGGCGGCCCATCTGCACACGTTCCGTATTATTTTCATCGGCCTACATCACGTTTAATCTCCAAAGACGGATCTTTTTTTACTTCAGCTAGTCCTTTTTTATTGGACAAAAGCATCCTGGGAAGATGTTATTTTACCGACGCACGTTTTTTACTTCCTGTTGCCAGTCTTCAAGTCAGACAATATGCTATTTCAAGCGCTCTTTTTATCCAATCGCCCAATTATAATTTCCTTGCTACGTTTGATAACCCGACATGCCATCTCATGCCTCCTTGTTTTTTTATATCTCCATATTGCCACCCTTCAGTAAAGATAGAAGCTGTTTATCGTCATGGTAGAGAAACTAGAACGTCACCGACTTCAAACATGACTCATAAATGCCTTTTCCATTACTTCTGTTTACGGGAGTTTGTCGCTGAAATGACTACACGGCTTCTGCCAACTTGATGTCATAAAGCATCCGCGTTCTGGATTATAGTCCATTTTTTTGAGGGCGACTTCACAACTTAGTCCAGTAGAGGTGGGGTCATTCGATGCCAAAACCATCGTCTAGTCGACGCTTTTCATGTACCGACCATGCAATATGGTCCTGGCAACGCTATTCAACATTGCGACATCGAGCCTTAGCCAAAGAGGTCTTGTGTTCTGCCTTAAAGTATTCGCGAAGTCGAGTCGAAAAGACCACCCTTCTGAGCAATACGACTCTCGGATGAGAGAGGATTTTTACACTTAAGATTAGCTCCAGGAGGGTATTACTTAATGCCAGCCTCTGAAGCATTCAAAGACTGTAGCTGGATCGTCTTTTCTCATTTGCAAGACACTTAGAACGATTGGCTGTTTGCATTGCCAAAAAGAAGCCAGTAATTTTTTGAATTGTAATTGATGTCAAAAGTGGAATTAGAAATCTTCCCAGGTCTGATTGAGCAATCGGTAGGAAAAAAATTAAGAGTAGTCATTGTTGGTAGTTAAACTGGTCTCACCACTTATTTATTACTGCCAATTTACACAGTCAACCTATTTGCAGAAAACGAGTGTCTTAACGTGTAGTAACACACATTCAACTACCTCACCCTCCTGACGTCAACAAGATAAACGCAAATTACTTTGGGGGAGGGGGTGAAGGGGAGAAGGTGGGTGAACTTTTGTCAGAAGAGTTGAAGGATTGGGAGGCCGTTTTAAAGGTCAGTACTATGGGAAACGTTGCATTGAGGCCTCGAGTGGGAAACGTCTTCTGTTGGTCCCCTCAACTAACTGTAATACTATAGCCGGTGACCTTTACTGATTTTGGGGGTTTACTATCGAAGCAGAGGTGCTCGAATGAGCAATCACTGGGTTCTATGATCGTGAAATCTTCTTGTAGGTAAATGCACGTCTCTTTGTGGAATTTGACAATTTATACACTAAAACCAGCCACCTGATTAACCAGGTATGCAGAATATATTTCATTTAGCACGCATTTTAAAGCCATCAAGACACTTCGGACAGATTTTTGAGATGAAGTTGACAGTGGGTAATGCTTGTGTGAAGGAAGGTAGGAAAAAAGACGACTCTACACTTGATCCAAGTTGGCAACGGAGATGCTTTCCAATGTGTGTGGATTGCCAACAGGGTTTTTTCTTGGCCAACGCCCCAAACTGCACGCAGATTTGGGGGAAGGGACGACAGTTCTTTCGCTCAACTCTTTGTTTCTGTTTGTTATCAATTGAAGGTATTCAGATGGTTTGCAGTTCCTTTACTTAAACTATCTCTGCTTCTCGGAAAGGTAACCTTGTCAGTAAATTGCGCGGATCCATTAGAAATATTTTTAAATGCGTGTGCTTCTTTGGAATTGTGAAGTACCCGATTTACCTAGTTAGCTAAAGACATATCACTGTTGGCAGGTAATGTTGAACTCGCTCCAGCCTTGTGTCACTTGGAATCGTGACCTATCACTTTCTCAATAATTTGAACCCTGAGGCTGTAGAATAGGGCAGGAAAGATGAATAAATGCGAATATTTTGTCGCATAAAGTAAACATTACTGAAGTTTGGACCTTACTGCTTCATTGAAAAAGGAAATTTGGTTAATCGAACTTCTCGTGATTCGACCTCCATGATAGTGACGTTACGCCCTGCTCGCGTCACCTACATTACTAGCCTTCTAGCTCACATTTCGGTAGACAGTAGAGCTATTTCAACACTATTGTGTCTGAGGACCAATTAGAAATATTTTTAATGCCAGAAAATGTAGCCGATTGCTTCATTCCTTTGAAGAACATAATCTCAGAATGGGTTACATTTCAGTTAATGAATGGCAGTAGTTCATTTGCGGTGGATTGTTGAATCGGAAGAGACTCACGGCCCAATGGCGCTGAGTTTGCGTCGGCTTTTGGAAACCACCCTAATTTCAAATACGGCATCGTGGTTAATAATGTGACTAGACAAGGAATGGATAAATTTACGTGATCTACAAAAGAACGGTTTAGTAAAGCTAGAAGAGCTGACACCCATGCGAAGATGTTGTATGCCTCTGCCCACGTAATTTATTCTCCTCTCCTCCCAGCCCTTTTGTACGCCTGCACTTGGGTGGTACGAGTTTATAACAGATTAACTGAGCTCTTAAATGTTATTATTCAAACATCACAATTTCCCTAATTACGATGAAACACTGAGGGTCGTATTTCTTCTGCCTCACAATTTGTGTGTACGTGTGTGTGTGTGTGGGCAACAGCTCTTTGCACACTCGAAGTGATGTGCGTAAGTGCGTTTTCCAT